ACTGGCAGTCTAGCCGTACTTCTAGCCACTTCGAAAATTTATTGCTTTCCATCTCTGACAGCCATCTGGTGCTGGTCTGTAGGCCCTCCCACAAGGGGACAAATGCCCATGGCACCCAGCTTGTGTGAATGTAAGTTTAGCTGTGGAGAGCTCAGGTGTGAGTGCGATTTTTTGGGGGGGGGGGAAATGCATCAACAAATTTACACCTCAGTGTGATCCCTTTTGGGGCAAAAATTGAACCGTTTCATCGAGATACATTACAACGAGGCTGTGATCACATCGATGAGAGTGGATCATCTGTAACGCAAAGGGCAGTGCATATGTATGATGATTGCAAATTTGCACTGCTTGGTTGATCACCTGCGCCCGCCCTCGTTATTGTTTCGTAAATTATTATCTCAAATGGAGAATCTCAGCCAACTGTAGGCTAATATCCCTCAGAGAAGAATCTTAGGGGTGACTTTTGTGTTGAAAAATTCAATTTCCTTAATTAGAACAGCGGAATCTTAAGCGACGGGATCTAATGGTAAGCGTTGAGATCCTAGATTGAGACGAATAAAGGAAAATCTAACCTAACAGATGTAACCTTTAATATGGATTAAAGCAGAATATTTTATCGGAATGGTCAATTGCATTTTATTAGGGTTCATTAGTAGCCTTTGCCTAATGTTTTGACCTCAAATTCAATCCCTATTGTTTTTTATTTCTTCGTTCTTTAGTTGGGGTTTCTTCTTTAAGAATTGCGCTTAACTTTCATCCTGGGCTCTGTACTTTAGGGAAGTTTGAATTAGAATGTTAGACTTTAAATTATTTTTTCCCTTTCTGTGTCACTCTTCTGTTTAACTCTATCTCTGACGGGGGTAAACCCACTGTGCCGGGGCCCTCTTTTGGTACAAAATCTAAAAATGTATTTATTAACTAAATTGGTCATTAAATCAAAACAAGTGAACCTACTAATTATACACGAATGCTATTTTTATTATTATTATTGTTACTATTATTAACCTAATTGACAGTTCTTCATGTGATGAATTAACTCCCGCTAAAAGAGACCTGTTTTCGGAAATTGCGAAAAAGTAATTTTACTTCGAAGTCAGTTCCAACCGTGTGCCACAGGGAGCGACTTGCCAGAGATAAGGAGTTAAATTTGAAGTGTTAGATCTAGGCATTTAATTATTTTCTCCATTGCTGTGTCACTCTATTTTTTTATCTCTTTCAGAAAAATGGAGTCAGATCCTGCCCAGAACAGTGACCAAGCTTTCCACAGTTATGGGGCAGCCATAACAAGTGAGTCTCAGATGAATGGCTATGATGTCACTTCTAAAGAAGATAATGGGGAGATGTTGCGTGGATCCAGCGAACCTACTGAGCAAAAAGACATTGCTGCTGTTCTTGCCCCACACAATATCATTAATATTCATCAACATTTGGATGTTATTGAAGGTTAGTGATTCATGTTTGTCTGTGCATAAGAGCATGTTAATGTCCCCACTTTGGGAATGGCCTAAAGACACTTCTGTCAGTAGCACTGCCCGGGGGGGGGGGGAGTTCCGGGCGACTTTAGAATTTCATTTTTTTTAATGTTTTAAATAGGTGCCAAAGCCTTAAATAGTAGCATTTTTATAAAGCACAAATCAGGAGCAAATTGGAGACAAATGCTGAAAACAGGCCATACTCACAGAGACTGTGTGGGAAAGAGATTATCAAGCAGCCGTAGATGGGTGCCTAACGCCATCTACAGTGTGTACCTCTTGCAGCTAGTTCATTAGCGGTATAGCTGGGTAAATTTACATTACTTTGGTAAGGACTGTATAATTGGCAAAAACTGGCTGTAGTTAATAATTAGATCTAGATCTAGATCTAGTAGCTTGCGCTCTTTAATAAGACTCCATACTCAGACTTGCAAATAGAAATATTCGACGTGTAGATCTAGATCTATATAAAGTAAAAAAGCGGATAAAAATGATCAAGGAAAGTGAAAGGGCTTACGAAACCTGGGCATGAGATGGTTGTGAAAGTAAAAGAATCCCAAAGAGAACATTTCAGGCCTCCTTCAGGGAAGATTGAAGAATACCAGACCACTCGTATTACTGTGCGAGAATGGGGAGGGGG